TATATTTAATAACACATTTTTGAGTATCATTGTAATCATGGACCGATCAGTGTTAGACTATCACTGAAAAACTGAAAGCACTGGACGACAATTTCGTCTTACTATGAGACTCTCCAGAACTGTGCATCCACGATCCTGCAGGGGGACTCGAACCCAGGACATTCGGTTCCAAGTCTAATCTAACATTGATCGATTATTGATCTCAGTGAAATTGAGTAATCTCCATAAACTCCATACTGGAAATTTTTGGGTACACTGACGAAAACAATATGTGATATATCAACAAATTATTGTATTTCTATCCGTCTCATGGTTGCTCAAATAGATGCACGTATATCTATAATTGAATCGACTCTCATGAAATTTATTTTTATTGTATCTACATTTTATGCATGATTTTTAAAGTAATGTGTCATGTTGCCAAGATTGATTGATATTCCTAAGTTCACCAGCTAGAATTCCGAATACAAATTTTCTCTCCCGTGTCTGCTATTCCGTTCTCATCATAATGTCCTTCGTTTTGTATTTATTTAAAGTAGCATACTCGAAGATCTTGTTAATCAAGAAGTTGATTAAGACGTCATTATCTCAAGCTTTCCGAAAACTAACCACATCAAACGTTTACATTTTGCCTTCAAGCCGTAAAGTATGTCTTAATGATCTTATTTCTAAGTTTTATCTGATGAACTTGGAAACTTAAAACATTGAAATTTTGTTGTTCTTAAATACCAGACATCAGATCCTACTATCTAGATTTCATTGATTATTAGAATTGTTATTTTCGTTCTATTTAATGTTCTTCCACTTTTTGATTGGTTAGTTCTATACATCAAAGGATGTCTATGATATTTCTATCAATGTTTAAAACTTATATCGAAAGAATAACTTGAAAGCATCAGAAATTACCAATGGATTGTTACAAGGGTAGGAGGCTTGATTGCCTGTGTTAAATGTACTAAAAAATTACCAGACTTTTACACTATTATAGTTATATCAAAATAAGTATCTTAAAATGTGATTTACGAAAATGAAAGATTGACATTTAGAAAAAGTAATATCTATTCTCTTAAGTGTTACATTGCCTGCTTTTACATTTCTCATTGTTATATATTTACATTGAAGCAATATAGAAAACAACTGTCGAGTATGAATCACAAAAAATATTGTGTATTTTGATCGTCGTACAAATATTTATGTTGATGAATTGAAGAACTTTAGTTTCGAGGCGTCGCTTGTATTGTAGTTTAATCCCTTTTGGAGTAGGTGTTCTTCTATTTTTGTTAGTGGTTGTTTTGACAGGTTGATCACGCAATTTTATGTGTTTTCTTCCATGGGTGGTTTTGAGATCTTGATTAGTTTCTTCTTCAGGGTGTTTCTTCTTTTTTTCTCTGTGTCGTTTGAATGATATTTCGATGGCTGTTGTCAAGATTTCCAAATGTTCTGATGTGAGTATCCTTTGTAACTTTATTTTTTGGTCCTCTATGACGTGTTGGTATTTGTGGATCCTGTATTGTGCATCCGTTATCATTAGGTGTACCATTTTTCTTCCAGTTTGCTCAGCTATTCTCTATCTCAATGGGCACTTTGTTGGAGGTCTGTATCTTACACTTGTTAGTATAACGTGCTGACGGAAAAAATACCGTTTTTCTCGATTGGAAGCCTGTCTTTTGGCGAAATTCTACCACTTTCGAAGAACCAGAAAGGCACTAACCTCATATGACTTTGAGATGGAGAAGATTTGTAGCTCAGGTGGATGACTTTGATGCTACAACTGACTTCTACCTGAAGTTTATGCTGATGATGTCGTTTAGAAGAACTATGAAAGCTCCACGACCAAACCATCCAGCTCAGAGAATAAAACACGTGCTTGTATTTATCACAGAATTCCGTTATTTAAAAAAAACTGAATTAACTAATTTTACTATCACATAAACAAGTCCCTTTATGTAATAGTACATGTTAGTATATTTAAAACATTTCTCGACAGATAGCTGACGGATAAGTAGCCTAAACTTAATTATTGTATAAAGATCTCATCAAAAGTTGTAAACGCGTCTTGCGGATGATTATCAGTTATCGCAAAACTCTTGATCTATGACATGAGTACTTTTTATGCATCCTTTAACCCTAGTAATAATCGTTAGGGTGCCAATTAGTCAAAGTGTTAGTTGTTGTTGATGTCTTTGAGCCAGATGGCTTAACTGTTGAGCTTTCATTATCGTTTTAGGCAACATTGTCATTTATGTAGCGGACATATTTTTCGTCCTACCATGGGACTCTTCAGAACTTCCAACTCACGAAACATTAAGCGATCAAACTTAGGACCTAAAGGTTTTGTGGCTAGCATCTCATCTTTATACCAGGATTTCATATTCACAGATTTAGTCAGTATGCAATATTGTGAAGCTACTGTCCATTTACATCAGTAATATATGTCTCTTTTGCTAGGACAAACTTTCTCCCCAGTATTACAGAGTTTTCGTTGGTTGTCCGACTAATCAGTTCATGATGTAAACTACAAATAAAACGGTCACATAGAATTGAATATGCTAATATTTTTGACAGTTGTCATGAAATGTTCTCATTTAACCTAGTGTTTAAAATGGTATTAAGTAATCCCTCTAGCTATGATATTGGTTGATATATAATCGGTTTTCAATTTAGACAGAAGTTTTCTCAAACTTACATTCATATTTAGCTGTCAAACTCATATAGCAGCTTACATGATATCCTTTGTCTTTGAGCTATATAGATTGCTCAATACTCAAATATTCTAACACAAACCTATAATGTTTAACATATTTTATGAATTATCAAATGTAGAATGTTAAATAAAATTACAGTATGATAACTTAATGTTTTCATGAAATTTAATAATTGAATTCATGAGTCAATTAAAGCTAAACAACCATGAAAAACCAAGAAGTAATGGACGGTCGTTTCGTCCTATTGTGGGACACCTCATCAATGCGCATCCACAATCCCGACTCGCGACATTCGAATCCAGGACCTATCAGTCTCGCGTGCGAACACTTAACATCTAGACTACTAAGCCGACAGCCAATGGTGTCATTGTCTAACTTCAACTAATTCACCAAATTGAGCGACACATCCACCATTGTCTTTAGTGACTTACAATCTAACAACAGACCTGGTTGAACTACACTGGTTACTGCTTTTCACTAGAACTCCAGGAAATACCTCTTGAAGCCAGTCACTAGAGAGAATATGTTGATTAATATCAGAAGGTAGTTTTGTGGATATTATAGTATTTTTTGAATAGTTGAGACCATGAGTCGATTGAAGCTAAAACACCATGGAAAATGTTGAAGCATTGGGAGGCTGTTTCATCTTAGTATCGGACTCCTCAGCAGTGCGCATCTTCGATCCCGCTCGCGGGTATCTACCTCAGTACAGTGGAAGATACTTGCACAATGTCATGAATTGGTTGAGGTTAGATATTAACACTATTGGACGCCGACTCAGTGGTCTAAAGATAAGCGTTCGCACGTGAGACTGAAGGCCCTTGGTTTGAATCTCGCTAGCCTGATCGTGTATGTGCACTACTGAGGAGTCCCATAATAGGACGAAACGGTCATCCAGTGCTTCCAGGTTTTCGATAGTGGTCTAACGTCAATCAGTTCATGATCTCAATCGAAAACATAAAAAGTAAATAGAAACTTTTTAAATAAAATTTGTTGAAGAAAAGAAGAATCCTCCTACTTGTCAATAAAATGCTTGACATATTCAACAGGAAAGGTGTATAGTATAGATCAACAACCTTCACTACATCTTTATTTCAAAGTATGTGTGTTGAATTTAGTATTGAAGAAATTTTTCTATAGTTTTGTTTGCGTAGAGCAATGTATAAACCAAGTAGGTGGTTTTTATCTGATAAAATATCACTCGAGAACTATTTTCAAGTTTACAAATGTCTAGTAACAGCCACATGCTACAATTTAAAGATTGATTAGTTGCTCTACCAATAGCCTTCAGTTTATTGACACTTTATTATTACATTTTAATTTATTAACGAGAATTCAAATACAAACATTATAACACTAATTTTCTTACCAGTATACACATTTTACATGAAAAATCAATTGAATTTAATCATCTAATAATGTTATGCTTCATATTTATTTATTTAAACACATAAACATTGGTACAAGGAGGCAACAAAGGGGAACCGAATAGATATGCGCCACGTAAACATTCGATTTGTGTAAGGGCTGGGATACTAACCAGGTGCCCAAACAAAAACAGGTGGCTTCCTTATGGGGCCACACCCTGAGCCTTTGATCTAAAGGTCTGATTCACCTGGCAGTGAGGTAACGCGATGAGATGCAGTCCCATGGTAGCCAGTCACCAATAATTGGTTCATAAGCCATTTATTCATTCAGCTTACTGGAGCCCATGTGCATCAATGGTTTGAATGAGGGTTTTCCAACACCCCTAGGTGGAGTCTCTGTGTCCACCAACTAGGTTAGAGCGCTGGACATTCGCTTTTTGTCCTATCGATTCCGTAAACAACACCTGTGGTGTGAGAATGCAATGAGTAGGACTTTTCTTGCAGTGGTTATACGCACGTGGCCATGCGAGAGCATTTAGGGAGGGAGAGCTGACTCTCCCCACTCTCGGCCGTAGCAGGGCATTTGGGGGCTATTCTCCATAAAATAATTACATAAATGGATCTCATTGCGAAACTGACCAAAGAAAATTATTCAATAATACATTTCTAATGAAATTGTTAATATGGATATTACAATAATTTAACTGAAAGTGTTACTTTTTAAGAAAATCTGTCTTGTTTTATTTTCAGATTTTTTTTAAAATTTTCACCATCTTGTTAATGATGACAATGATAAAAGTTAGATAATTGAAGTAAATAAGAAAATGTTTACATATTCAACTTGAATAAAATATGGTTCATATAATGTAACAGTTCATCAATACAAAACAAATAGTTTATATTACCTATTATAGAAAGCAATATTCATATGATGAATAATACACTTACAATGAATTCTGAAATGGATAATAAAACTACCTGTCAACAATATTTTAATTTAAATGAAACAACATATATACCTGATATATATGAATTTAAACAACAACCTATATTAGTTTTAACGGATCAACGACAATTACAAACTATAACATCATTGTCAAATTCTACACTTCAAATAACTCAATCATCACAGATTTCTGTAGAAGATCAAGAACATCAAATCTCTTCACGTGTATCTGACCTAGAATCAGTAAATTTAGATAATAATTTCCATAGAAATTATAATAAAATCAATAATATTACAAAATTATCATTAATACCTATACTTCCAAATAATTCAGTAAATAATACAAAAAACTTATGGTTACTTCAACAATCTTCTGATAATTCAGTAATAAATTCTAATATAAAACGTCATTTTAAACGTCGTGCAGCAAATCATCATTATAATCAACGTCCTATTTGTTATTCACAAAATATAAAATCTAATATTAAGAATAAATTTGGATACAATTCATTAAGTGCTCCATCTTCACTTATATCTAGTGCAATAGCTACTACATATTCAGAATTAAAAAATGAAAAGACTAAAGAGAATGAACAAATGAATTATGAACAATTACAATTATTATTACCTACATTATCAACAGTAAATTTGACGAATGATAATGTTGATCATGATGATCATGAAAATTGTTTAAATCGTAAATTTCTAAATGATTTTGATATTAATTCAAATGAAAATAGTATTGTAGTAACTGAACCAGTACAAATTACTGATCGATCATTTTCAAATCAATCGATTACAAATGATTATAAAGTTAATTTGTTAACATCTAGTGAATGTCTTTCTTCTTCTTTAGAAAATCAAAAATTAGATGATTTACAACATAATACTATTCTTTATAATAGTAGTTATATTAATTTAGATAATGGTAATTTTCCAACTCGTTCACATTCATTTTTTCACTTACGCCAATTAGATTCCCTTAGTTCAAATGGATCTCATTCTAAACCTGATACAGATATATTATATCCTATGAATGGTTCATTCAATCAGTTAGCTATTCGTGTTTCCTCATCACCTATGTCAATTTGTAGCAATAATACCTTTTATCAACAGAATAATTGTTCAGAAGATCAATATAATAAAACCACTTTTAATGGTAACAATTATGGCGGTAGTAGTATTAAAAGCAGACGGAGTAAATGCGAGAAATATATCAGTTCGGACAAGCACACTTGCATTAGATCATATTCAGCTATGAGACATCCAAACGAATGTAATATACGTGTATTTCGTTCACCTCTCGATGTCCTTTCACCGTGTAAAGGTAAGAAATTTTGTAGTATTGTATTAAACATTAAATTTTACAACAAGAACATTCTTGGAAACATAACGTACGCTGCTTATTTCTCTAAGTGAACTATAATCTCTGAAATAAATCCACAATTAAGTTTATATATTAGGGTAATGTAGTGTTGAATAAACTCGTCATGCACCGATACTTTACACCTGCTTGTATTTATCACAGAATTCCGTTGTTTAAAAAAAACTGAATTAACTAATTTTACTATCACATAAACAAGTCCCTTTATGTAATAGTACATGTTAGTATATTTAAAACATTTCTCGACAGATAGCTGACGGATAAGTAGCCTAAACTTAATTATTGTATAAAGATCTCATCAAAAGTTGTAAACGCGTCTTGCGGATGATTATCAGTTATCGCAAAACTCTTGATCTATGACATGAGTACTTTTTATGCATCCTTTAACCCTAGTAATAATCGTTAGGGTGCCAATTAGTCAAAGTGTTAGTTGTTGTTGATGTCTTTGAGCCAGATGGCTTAACTGTTGAGCTTTCATTATCGTTTTAGGCAACATTGTCATTTATGTAGCGGACATATTTTTCGTCCTACCATGGGACTCTTCAGAACTTCCAACTCACGAAACATTAAGCGATCAAACTTAGGACCTAAAGGTTTTGTGGCTAGCATCTCATCTTTATACCAGGATTTCATATTCACAGATTTAGTCAGTATGCAATATTGTGAAGCTACTGTCCATTTACATCAGTAATATATGTCTCTTTTGCTAGGACAAACTTTCTCCCCAGTATTACAGAGTTTTCGTTGGTTGTCCGACTAATCAGTTCATGATGTAAACTACAAATAAAACGGTCACATAGAATTGAATATGCTAATATTTTTGACAGTTGTCATGAAATGTTCTCATTTAACCTAGTGTTTAAAATGGTATTAAGTAATCCCTCTAGCTATGATATTGGTTGATATATAATCGGTTTTCAATTTAGACAGAAGTTTTCTCAAACTTACATTCATATTTAGCTGTCAAACTCATATAGCAGCTTACATGATATCCTTTGTCTTTGAGCTATATAGATTGCTCAATACTCAAATATTCTAACACAAACCTATAATGTTTAACATATTTTATGAATTATCAAATGTAGAATGTTAAATAAAATTACAGTATGATAACTTAATGTTTTCATGAAATTTAATAATTGAATTCATGAGTCAATTAAAGCTAAACAACCATGAAAAACCAAGAAGTAATGGACGGTCGTTTCGTCCTATTGTGGGACACCTCATCAATGCGCATCCACAATCCCGACTCGCGACATTCGAATCCAGGACCTATCAGTCTCGCGTGCGAACACTTAACATCTAGACTACTAAGCCGACAGCCAATGGTGTCATTGTCTAACTTCAACTAATTCACCAAATTGAGCGACACATCCACCATTGTCTTTAGTGACTTACAATCTAACAACAGACCTGGTTGAACTACACTGGTTACTGCTTTTCACTAGAACTCCAGGAAATACCTCTTGAAGCCAGTCACTAAAGAGCACATGATGATTGACTCATGAATTCAATTAATAAATCACTACATTTTTCACACAACCCCTCTGTGATTATTTTCAAGCATTTATCGTTTAACATTTCTTATTACCAAAAAGGTGACCAAAACACTTTTTCAATGCTATAAATTATAATTTAATGTATCCAAATACCAGATTGTTTAATAATCGGTATATGATATTTGTATATATGGATAACACTGTAAAATCTTTGTTTGTCAATAAAGGTGGTGCTAAATTCATAAACAGTTTTTGTTTTGGTACTTATTATTGGGTAATAATTTGATTTATTTGAGCTGTTAGTTTGGATGGTATTAACAATCCAGAAATTTACGGTCTAAAATACTACTGATTTACCACAAGTATATCACTTGTCATATGTGAAATTTCAGGTAACTGTAACTCATAAGGACTTACTTTAAATGACAGCAACAACTAAAAATACATAATGCGGTTACATTGAACTAGTGAAACAACTATCAGAAAACTTTTTTTATGCTTTAATCATCAGTGATGGAACACTACTGTGGAACAAACTGTCTACAAGAAGATATTAAGCTAATAAACAGACAAATCCACTTTGGTTTAACTCATGAAACATGTACCTTTTTATTATACTTGAATCCATGAGTTATTTTAAGCTATACCGCCATGGAAAACCTGGAAAAACTGGACGGCTTTTTCGTCCTATTGTGGGATTCCTCAGTGACTGGCTTCAAGAGGTATTTCCTGGAGTTCTAGTGAAAAGCAGTAACCAGTGTAGTTCAACCAGGTCTGTTGTTAGATTGTAAGTCACTAAAGACAATGGTGGATGTGTCGCTCAATTTGGTGAATTAGTTGAAGTTAGACAATGACACCATTGGCTGTCGGCTTAGTAGTCTAGATGTTAAGTGTTCGCACGCGAGACTGATAGGTCCTGGATTCGAATGTCGCGAGTCGGGATTGTGGATGCGCATTGATGAGGTGTCCCACAATAGGACGAAACGACCGTCCATTACTTCTTGGTTTTTCATGGTTGTTTAGCTTCAATGGACTCATTATCTCAACTATTGAAATTACAAACATTTTATTTAGGAGTCAAAGTAGTCTATATTCTGAGCCTGAAATAAATGAACATGAATATAACATTATGTCCATTTATATATTGTATTGGTTAGGTAAATGTAATAATATAAATAACCGATAGGAATAATTCGGTGTTGTACTGTTTTTTTATCTCCGCATCGATGTTTAGTACTGTAGCTGCTTATAACCGATAGGATTATTAGCACATTTAATATATAATCACGTTTATTTTGTGATAAAAGCATCTCCAGTAAACAGTTGCTCTTTCATTATTACATACTTACACTTTACTTACTCATAGGCCACCAACCAGTATTCTCCAACCAACTCTGTCCTGGGTTCTGCTTTGCAGTTGTTTCCAAGTACTATGGATTCTTTTCATTTCTGCTTCCAATTCCTGACGCAATGTGTTCCCTAGTCTTTCTCTCTCCCTGTACTTTTCAGGATTCCACGTCAGGGCTTGCCACTTGATGAAGTCTGATAAATTCCACAGTGTATGTCCTACCAACTGCCATAATCTTTTCCGAATTCCCCCTTAAGCTAAGCTGGTCTGTCCACTGCCATATTAGGTTGTTGTTGATGGTATTCGGTCAACGGACACTGAGTATCTTGGGTAAACACTTGCTTATAAATATCTGCACATTTTTGATGACGGTTGTAGTAATTTTACAACTTTCAGCTCCGTGCAGTAGGACTGTCTTAATGTTTGCATTGAAGATTCTTTGATGTTGGCTGACCGTTGTTTTGAGTTCCATGTATTCTTCAACCGTAGGAGTGCCTCAGTTGCCTGGCCAATCCTCGCCTTTACACCTACATTCGATCCTTCTCATTTATCGATGATAATCTCAGGTACGTAAAACTTTACACCACCTTCGGAGCTTATCCATTGAATGTTGTTGGTTTGGAGCTCTCTGTATTGCATTTCGGGATCTTGCCTTCTGTCATGTGTATATTGAAGCCTACTGCTGCGTAGGCTGCTCCTATACTGTCCAAAGTCCAACTCATCTATTTACATCCAAGTCGTCCATTTTATTCCAAGCTTCCACTCATATGTGAAGGTCTTGATTACTCAATCGATCACCAGAAGAAAAAGGAATGGTGAGAGTAAGCAGCCTTATCTACTACCGGTTCCATTGCATTGATTATTCAACAATTATCCATAGTGTTGTGTGGCGGTTTGTGCACGACGGAATCCATCCTGTTGATCCAGAAGTTGAGTGTACGTTGAACATTTCATTCTGTTCAACATCACTCTGTCCAGGGTTTCGATAGACATTCATTCACTACGATAGGGCTTTCTGCGGTTCACAATCTGTTTGCACATTGAAATGAGTGCTTCTTTGATCCCCTTCTAGTTGTTCACCAAGTACTTTCCTCTTCTTTGAGTAGATCTTGTAAGGATTGAATTTGTTGCTAAGATCTATCCGGAATTCACCGAGTTTGTCACTGTCACGAATTAAGGGTGTTCTAAATCTTTATAATGCTGTTTCCCTGGCTGTCCAGCTTTTCTTTAGATTCAGTTTCATCTTGACCACCATCAGGTAGTGATCTAAAGCTACGTCAGCTCCTCTCTCGGTTCTCACGTCTTCGATGGATCTTCTGAATTTTTTAGTGATGTAAATATGATCCATTTGGTTCTTCATGATGTGATTCGGTGAAACCCATGTAGCTTTGTGTATGAGTTCGTGTGGGAATATTGTGCCAGCTCTTGCCACTTTTTAAAGGCGCGTAATCTCGAAAATCTGTTACCGTTTTCCATCTCTTTCTCCTAAATCATGTCGTCCTATGGTATATTCATCCGTGGTGTTGTCCATTCCGACCTCAACGTTTAAATCTCTCATTGTAAAATTCGACAATCGGAAGGAGGAATGTGTATATATTGTGAAAAATTACTAAATATTTACATAAAAATCATACACAGTCGTTAAATGTCTATTTGCATCTTTCGGCGTGCGCTGCAGTCTGAACAGTCTTCTCGTATGATATCCAAGTGTTACGCTAACGCCGTACTTTCGATGTACTGAAGCTCTTCACTCCACCTGACAATTGTTACAACTTCGAGTCCATACTACTTACAAACAACCTTCGGAGTAGTGCCCACTACACCATCAGAATGGTCAGGTCTTTTCCTGGGCATTTCTGTACGATTAACTTTTGCCTCTAATGAAATTGATCTTTTGCGCCTTGTTCACTTTCACCAATGGGTACATAGCACTAGATAACATTTATTGAGATTCCCTCCTTCGTTTTGAAGGATGCTTTGATTATTCTGGATCCATAGAATTCCAATTTTATAAGTGTTTTTCGTGCTTTTTGGATAGCATCAGTGCAATTCCTTGTGTGTGCGAGGAAGTTTCTTATTTATACTCAGAGTACAAC